GAGATGGAAGAAAAAGGATTCCACTGCCCAGAGTAACCAGCTTCCAGGCTGCCTTATTCATCATACAAACATTTACTGAATGCCCAGCGTGTGTCAGGCATTCAGTGATGAAGGTACCAGGAAAATAGCAGTGAATAAACAAACATCAGCCCTCATAGAGCTTATATTCCAGTAATGAGCTGGTCTTCCAGGAGCAAGATCAGAAAATGCTGCAGACCCCTGCTTCCCCAGACACACCCACAGGCCTAAGTTGCATCCCAGTCTACGCAGCTCAACAACCACTTCTGAAAAGGCCATTCTGCCTATCTTGGCATTTAAGGGGAATATCCTCATGCTAGCAGTTGAATATAACACACACACACACACACACACACACACACACACACGGCATTTTAAAAGATCAAGATGATAAGTACAATGAATAATAACCATAAAAACACGATGCAAATTTAAATACAAAATCCTTTTCAGGCAAAGGCAAATCTGCAAAAGCCATTTTTTTTTTAAAGATTTTATTTATTTATTCATGATAGTCACACACAGAGAGAGAGAGAGAGAGGCAGAGACACAGGCAGAGGGAGAAGCAGGCTCCATGCACCGGGAGCCCGACGTGGGATTCGATCCTGGGTCTCCAGGATCGCGCCCTGGGCCAAAGGCAGGCGCTAAACCGCTGCGCCACCCAGGGATCCCCAAAAGCCATTTTTTAACTCATAATTTAATTCATTCTCCTAGCATTAGACAGAACCAAATACAACCTTCAAAAGAACAAGAAATGGATCTCCAACTGATCTCTCTACACAACGTCCCAAGCTGCTGCCCCAGGAAATCTCTGCCAAATGGCTAATGTCAGCTTGGGTTCGCAGTGCTTCCCAGAGGAGAGGGGTGGGAGGAACCCACATTTACTAAAATGTACTAAAAGTAACTCATAAAACATTTGAATAACCTATCCATTTTTAATTCTTCTGTAATTTCTGTGATAATTTTAAATACAATGAACTCATCTGATATAATGTGAGTATCACAGGAACTCTTCCAGGATTCCCATTGTAATTCATCATTAACTGGACGCGTGTTCAAGTATTACACGGCTCCCTGCTATCTGCCTCTAATAGCAGGAGTGAAGCCATTTCGTTTGCCTACTGGCGTGCTTACTCATTTAATTAACCAAGATGACACAGTGCCAGTGAGATCCAGGCCTTTGTGTGTGTGCCCTGATGACCTACTTTAATAAAATCTGGCCTCGCCTCACACAGAACACAGGTTTAAATCCTAGCTAGAGAGGCCAGATAATAGTACGTATCTAATAGTAGAGTGAGCAGTGCATAGAAAATTGTGCAGGCTGTGCACATGTAAAAACAGACAACAAAGAAACCTATGTGGTTTCTATAATCTTAACAAGATCAACTATGTGACATTTACTGACTCTGCCTCCCTTCACCTCCACAACCAATTTCCTAAAATTCTGGGCTCTGGATCTATGGATTTAAATATTAAAATGCTTCCAGTCTCCTCTTCCTGTGTTTTCTATCTAAGGAAAAGATGGATATGGAAAAGTATTAACCTCGTCTTCCCTGAAATAATGGACTCTAAGACCCTGGGGCTTCTAATCTATTCTTCAAAATAATGCTAAAGCAGAAAATAAGACACATACATTGCTGAGTTTCTTCATATCCTCAAAAATCTGAGGATATTTCAGTCCTATTAACATTTCAATATTTTAGAATCACAGGATCTTCTTTGGCAATGGTGAAGGGGGGACTCAACATATTCTTTAAAAATCTCTAAGGTCTATGGGAAACAAATTGTAACCAACAAGCCCCTCACATCTCATTATGTGGTGCAAATTTATTTTTAGGATTCCTCTGGCCTTGTTCAGCTGTTGCCCTCTAATGATAGAATTGTTTGCTCAATTTTATAGCAATTCTGTGTCTGAAGCTATCAGGCTTCATATTATGAGGGATGAGACAGGCTAGTCTGAAATACACAGAATCTGAGAAAGGAAAAACCCTACTAGGAGTCTACTGAATCTCAATCAGGGCAGGAAACCTCATGGTGAAGGGCATGGCTGGCTGCAAGCCCCATTTGGAGAATGAGAGTGATGGCACCACCTACCTCTACCTACTTCACAGGGTGTTAAGGAGAAATGAGAAAAATGAGTGTCACACAGTATTAGCATTTAAACACTGTAAAGTCATTCCACTCCATTAAGCATGCATTAAGTACATGGCACTGTATACCTAATAAAACAACCTTCATCACATGATAACCTGCTAGTATTCCTTTTTAAAAAGCTACTCTTTATGTCTAAATCTCTCTTACAGCAGAGTGTGTACATTTTTACATAATCAACATAAATATCGCTATGTTTAAAATAATCAAGGCAATTATTTGGATCATGTAGTGATAAAATGTTTTAATCCAAAAATTATGGAGATTAGTGACAATGAGAATGCTACACTGTTGTTAAATACATTATTCTGTGTCATTTTAACATTTCTTAAGCTACAGTTTTCACAAAGACTTCCTCAGCATTTTATAACAGCAAATACCATTCTCCCTACTGAAAGGTAAGGAAAATGGAACACAAACTTATTAGCTTAATATCACAGGTGCCAAATATTAGACCCCAAAACATCTTCCTACTCTCACTCTTACCTTGGTATTCCAAAGGCAAAGAAAAAAATCCAATATAATGTCCACAAAGTGAAACAGATATCTAAGCAATTACCTGGGGTTGGGAGTGGGTACTGATTGATAAAAGCCTCCTTTATCCACTCCGTTTTCCTTATGCTCCCTCCACTCATTAAGAAAAGAAATCCACATAATATCTTTCTTCAAAACATAGATCATTTATAAGTGACAGGGGTGGGGAAGAAGGGTTTCATATGTAAATAATACCAGGGCCTCTTCCCCTGAATTACCTAAATCATTCTCTGAATGGATCACGGATCACGTGTTCTTCTACTTCTGTAGTCACAGTATTTAAGCCTCATCACACACACACACACACACACACACACACACACAAACACACAAAAGAAATGGGAGCCATAAGCAGGGGTATGGGAAATAAACATCCTTGAATTTCCCTCTAATCAATTCTGTCATCATCACCAAAGAAGCAAAAGCTTTTTCTCGGGTCGTGTATTTTGCTTCCATGGCCTCGCATCTTTTCCATCTTCCATTCCCTCCCTCATAGGAGTCAACATCTCTCCACCAGAGCCCCCGCAGCTGCCACCACCATCCTGACCACTCCTACAAACATTATCACCTATCTGCACTGCATTAAGTTTTTTCCCATATCTGTTCTTCTCTTCCTCAATAACACAAAAATTATCAGCCACCTTCTCCACCTGCAGCCCTATCCCTCACCCTAAAATACTGCTGCATCCTTCTTACCCTGTATTTAACAATTGGTATCTACCCATTAACATCAACTTAACATCTTTGTCTCATCAGAAGATTTAAAAATCTGTAAAGTAGGGAAGAACCATCTATTTTGAACACCCTCACCATGGTGAAAGCAACTCCCCTTTACTGGGGGAAAAAAAACACTCAAATTTAAATAATCTTTGAAAACAAGACCATCTCAGAAATGGTAATCTACAGAACAAAGCCCACTTGAATAATGTTGTGGCTCGGAAAGTAGACACTCTATAACACTAATACACAGGAACTCAGTCATAAATTTGATTTAAAACATGAAAGTTTAGGTTTTCCTTTCCTAGTTTTATCCCTAGAAAGCTCAGGCTATCCCTTCTGGCCTACAAACCTAGAGAAGCTAGTGTCCCTCTGATAAATTTATTCCATGTCACCCAAGTGTCCAGTGAAAGGCATACCCCATGCTGTTGTTTCTCAATGACCAGACTTAATAACAAGCTTCCCTTCCCTAGAGTCTATCCTGAATTTAATCCCAATGAAGCAAAGCCAGCCTGGCAGTTGGTCAAGCTGTGCACTATGCAAGTCTACCACATTTAAGGGGGCACGAATCGCATCATTAGCATCTCTACTTTCAAAAACTGTGTATTTTTGTCACAACATTGATGGTTTAAAGATGGGTAATTTGATTATTTACATTATAATTTTCCAACATATGGCAAGAAAGTGTCTTGTTCTAAAAATCAGTATAGTTCAATAATTTTCCATCAGATGGAAGTAAAATGTCTGTGGAAGGGGTGCCTTTGTCTAATTTGCACAAAATGCCATATGGGCCAGCAGCGGCCCTCGGAAAAGCTTCTCTCAAACATTTGAAACTTTCTGTGGTCTTGCCTGTTCACTAAAGCATCTGCTCTTGGTTTGATAAACTCTGTTTGTACTGCATTAACTACCCCCACCCCACCAATCTGGGCTTTCTCTCTCAATAACTTCAGCTATTAAGCACATCCTCTCCTCAAAGCAAGCCCCTAAGTACTAACTGCATCCTCTTGTCCTATTTCTGTCAACTGATATTACTAAACACATGTTAAAAATAAAATGATAACCTTCTGTCCCAGATCAATTACCACTAGAAAAGAGATATCCATTATAGACACATTCCACAAATTTAACATCATTAACAAATATTTTGCTCTGAACTTGAATTTCATCAATGTCTGATTAGATTACTCACATTTTTTAAAAGATTTTATTTATTTATTGAGAGGGAGTGTGCATGTGTGTGTGTGTGAGCAGGGGGAGGGACAGAGGGAGAAGAGAGAGAATCTCAAATAGACACCACAGTGAGCCCCAAGCCTGACATGGGGCTTGATCTCACAACCTTGAGATCATGACCTGAGTCAAAATCAAGAGTTGGGCACTTAACTGATGAGCCACCCTGGCTCACACCCAGATTCCTCACATTTTTTTAAAAAGCAGAATTAAAGTAAGTTTCCATATCAGAATTCATTTTAATTGACTTTTTTCATTGATTATATTTACCAAAACTTTACCATGAGTGATTTCCTTTGAATGACAGGAACCCAAGTCAAATGAAATAATAATAGAGAGCCACATAAACTCACCTTGACCCCCAGAAAATGAGTTTTACTGCCATTGGTGATAACTTTGCCCTAGTTGATGGTCCAGGTGTAGAAGCCTTAAAAAGCAAAAGACAGAGGAAAAGTTAGAAGAAAGAAGCCATATTTAGGAAACCAGTTACTTCATGGTAATACTGCTTCCCCCTGAAAAATGAAGTTAGTACAGGAGTGCTCGAATCTATGCAGTAATTGTACCACAATCAAACTCTTAAGTGGATCTGTTTCACGAACTTGCCATTTTTCCATTGGTTGTGTCTGGGATTTCAGAGATACTTCATCTTATTTTCAGATTAATCCTCAGTGAATACATGACTTCTAATTTCTTTATTTCTTAATCCCTCAAGTAGTTAATGATCTTAAAACTGATTCTTAAATACACCATATAAATGAAATATCTTAAGAACTTAAGACTTGGCTCTTAGGGGAAGAATACCTCTGATGCATAAATAATTATGTCTGTTTGGTAATTCCTAATTTTCTTAAATGGCACCAAACTTATACTTTGTTATGCTTTTCTCCTTATTCAGAAAAAAATAAAGAACTAGAGGAACTATGAGTCCCACAGTATTTTTTTAAGTGGCTCCATGCCCAGTACAAAGCCCAGTATAGGATGGAAACTCATGACCCTGAGATCAAGACCCGAGCCGAAACCAAGAGTCAGAAGCCCAATGGACTGAGCCATCCAGGTGTCCCATGAGTCTCACAATATTAACAATAGTAACATTAATTAAATCTGTAATAAAGCTGTATTTCAAAAAAAAACCAGCAAAAATTACTTTCCTCTCCAACTTGTCCAGCAAGGTTAGTTTTAGGTGACAGAAAAAATACAAATTTTCCTCCAGATACTACTGCAATAGATGCCCTAGAATGCCTGCTATTATCAGGTTGAGTCATATAAAATTGGTGATATCCAACCATCATTTACCTCAAAACCTGAAAATTTCATCATTTTCCCAAGCAAAAAGAAAAAATGATAGAATTGGAAAACAACGAAATCTTCAAAATAATCTATTGCTCAGCACGTGTCATTTTCTGAAGCAGCACCACTGGATTGGGCATTAACAGTTTCCATTACAACTTAACATCTTCATGGTACCTAAAAGATGAAAAGTGAATTGTCTCCAACATTCGGAAGGGCCTGACTGTATCTCCTCAATTCTTTTCTCCAACCCAGTCTATTTACTGCCAATTCCCTCTCAGCTTCCTCTTTGCAGAATTAAGAGCCTTTTCCAAGAATACAAAAATGGCAGAGAGAACAGCTGAGGGCTGGAAGGCAAAAGGTGATAGTAAGAGTACAAATCTCTAAGAGGGGACAGCCAAAGGGAAAGCATGTCAGAGTAAGAGAGGAACAAAAGGCAGGAGGAAGAAAGCAGAAGGGCTGCCTACTCACTAACCCAGTACTTAGTGCTGAGTATCACACCACACTGAGAAAATTAAACAGGTCCAAGCCCAGATGGAAAGACAGAAAAGTTTACTTCTGTCTAACATATTCAGTAACCCATCTATCTTAGGAGCTACTACAACCAGCACTCCCACCCCATCCCACCATTGCTATGACCACCCCCAACACTATGGATGTAATGCAGACATGCACAACAGTACTAGAACTAAAACTAACAGAATAGAGCCATGGTGAATACCCTAAGTACAAAAATTTACCTGTTTACACAACATATTTTCTTCTGAGGTGGAGTGGAAATTGTTTAAATGATTTTACTTCGTACTGAGAGACTCATTAAATGAGCAACCTACCTTAAGCTGCTTTGTTTTACCTTGTTGCAAGAACAAGTAGCCAGCTGCAAAATAAACTTTTTGATCTCCTGTTAGGACCATTTATCTATTACACATTCCCTATTTTTGAAAATTAATTATCTGAAGAAGAGATGTAAGGTCAAAAGCTGCATCTGTTTGCAAAGTCCCAGTTGACATATGAGGCAGAAGCTACTGTTTTGTTCATATCCAATCAGAATTTCAAAACATGTAAGACCAGGAGAGGAAATGCATGGAGAGTAAACCTTACCATCAGAGGCACTCTTCATTGTTCTAGTATGGACTTCCCTTTTAAAACAGAGATAATAGGATTTAATGTGGACCACCATAATGTTGAAGATACATGTGTTAATGACGGCAATAGCTAAATGATAGTGCTAATAGCAATGAAGAAAGGAAATCATTATTATAATAATAGGTACAGCCAAAGATAAAGAGCTAATATAGCAGCCTGGAATTAACAGACCAGTTGGAATTATACCACTCATTATGAAAGGGAGTTAGAAAATGACATTATGTTAATACAGTGATCAAATAAGAGTGTGAACATAGTTAAGGAGTGCTAGCTAAGGTATGTGAAGATTATACATACATACATGTGTGGAAGCTACCAGGTAATAAATAACTAAGCAAAGTCACTCTATGAAGAGCCAGAGGCTGCCTAAGAACCAACTGGTCAACCTCACACAGAAGAGCCCTAGGCCACTGGTAATTATCACTGAGATTAGAGCAGGGTCTGCAGAACATCAGCAAGCAACAAAACAGGGAAGTTGACATAAAAGACAAAGGGAGCAGGTGTTACCTAATGCCTTAGAGTCCTATATAAAAAGACTGTATTTACAACTCAACACCAAAAAATAAATAATCCAATTAAAAAATGGGCAGAAGATATGAACAGACATTTTTCCAAAGAAGACATACAGTTGGCTAACAGATATGTAAAGATGCTTAATCATCAGGGAAATGCAAATCAAAGCCACAATGAGATATCACCACCATACATGTCAGAATGGCTAAAGTCAAAAACACAAAACACAATGAGTGTTGGTGAGGATGTGGAGAAAAAAGAACCCTTGTGCACTGTTGGTGGGAATACAAATTGGTGTAGCCACTGTGGATAACAGTATGGAGGCTCCCCAAAAAAAATTTTAAAAAGAATTACCATATGATCCAGTAAATGGGAACACCAATTTGAAAAGATATGTGCACCCCTATATTTACTCCTCATTATTTACAATGGCCAAGATATGAAAGCAATCCAAGGATCCATTGATAGATGAATAGGTAAAGAAAATGTGGTGTGTATACACACACAGAGTGGATTATTACTCAGCCATAAAAAAAGGAATAAAATCTTGCCATTTGCAATAACATGGATGGAACTAGAGGGTATAATGTTAAGTGAAGTAAGTCACTCAGATAAAGAAATACCACATGATTTCACTCATATGTGGCATTTAAGAAACAAAACAAATGAACAATTAGAAAAAGACAAAAAAAAAAAACCTGACTCTTAAATACAGAGAAGAAACTGGTAGTTACCAGAGGAGAAGCAGGTAGAGAGATAGGTGAAACAGGTGAAGGAGAGTAAGAGGACATTCATCTTGATGAGTACTGAGAAATGTATAGAATTGTTGAATCAATATATTGTATACCTGAAACTGATATAACACTATGTGCTAACTATATTTGAATAATAATTTTTTAGAGAGAAAGTGAAATTTAGTTAGAATAGTACATAAAATTAATAGAGAAATATTTTTTGAATTCCTATAAAAGGACAAAATGAACAGAGAAGTTGCAAGCAACCATCTTCCCCACACAGAATTGTTCAGTTTTGGAGTGAGCAAAAAACCCTAAAGCATAATTTTCAAATTTAGAAAATTTTCAAGTTTAGAAATTACATCAATTTGATCTTGATTTTTGAGGTACAGATAGTATTTTTAAACAAGAGGACATAAAGTCAGAGAGTCAATGTGCATCTCTATTAGCAGACAGGTACCTACAAATTTGGTTTAGCGTGAGAACAGTATACTTAGAAAAACCTATTTTGTCCAATTTACAACTGATGTAACCAAGTGTTACACAAACAAAGCAATACTGGCCTCAAAGAATGAGTTGGAAAATGTCCTTCCTTTTCCATTTTCTTAAGAGATTAGTTAAGGCTTCTTTATACATTTGGTGGAATTTGCCAGTGGAGCCATCTGTGTCTGGGCTTTGCCTCGTGGGAATTTTTTACATAATGGGTCACTTCAAAGTTTCTATTTCTTCTTGAGTAGTTTGGTACTCTGTCTTCATAGGAATTTGTGCATTTCATCTAGGTTATCATAATTTGTTGACATAAAATTATTCATAATATGATTCTTTTTATTTCTCCAAGGTGGCTAGAGATGCTCCTTTAATTCCTGATTTCAGTAACTGAGTCTTTTCTCTTTTTCTACTGGTCAGACAGCTAATGGTTTGTCAATTTAGCTGACTTTTTTCAAGGGACTAATTTGGGATTCATTGATATTCTCTGTTTTCTATTCTCTGTTTTATTTCCTTCTGCTCTAATCTTTTTATTTCCTCCTTCTACTTGTTTTGGGTTTTATTTGCTCTTCTTTTTATATCTCCTTAAAGTGGAGGATTAAGTTATTGATTTGTGATCTCTCCTTTGTTTTGGGGGATCTTTCCCAGTTTGTGTTACAACTGACATATAGCATTGTGTTAGTTTAAGGTGTACAACATAATGATTTAACCTACACATATTGTGAATTGATTATAAGTTAACTTCCATCATCTCAGATAGATATAGAAAAAGGATTTTTTCCTTCTGATAAGACTCTTAATATTTACTCTTAACAATTTTCATACACCATACAGCAGTGTTAACTATGGTCATAGTGTACAATGTATCTGCAATACTTATAACTGGAAGTTTTTATATTTTGTACATTTTGACCACCTTCATCCAATTCCCTAACCCCTTCCCACCTCCCTACCTCCAATAATCACAAACTTAATCTCTGTTTCTATGAGCTTGGGTGTTTGGGTTTGGTTTATTGTTTTTTTCCTAGGTTCCACATATAAGTGAGAGAATACAGTATTTGTCTTTCTCTGATTTATTTCATGCAGCTTAACCCCTCAAGGTCCATCCATGTTGTTGCAAATGGCAGAACATCTTTCTTTTTATGGCTGAATAATTTTCCTATGTATCATAACTTCTTTATCAATTTATCCTGACTCACAGGCACTTAGGTTGTTTCCATGTCTTAGATATTGCATATAATGATGCTATGAACATCCTATT